ATGTTGAGTGGATGCCCCTTAATTGGGCGATGTTTAAGGACAATAAGATGTTCTACAAATCGTTATAAATTTACTTTTATGCCTAAAGCAACTTGGTTATGCAATAAATGTAGTTAATCGATGGATTATTTAAGATTAGTTATTATTATTTATTATTATAGAATTTGTGTGTGTGTGTGTGTGTGTGTGTGTGTGTGTGTGTGTGTGTGTGTGTGTACTTGATGTTAAGTGTTGGTGTTTATTGTGTTAAGTGCGTTATTCTTGTTATATGTGAAGCATCACCATGTCAGAACAAATTCCCCCAGGGGGATTCATAAAGATTTAAACTAAACTAAACCAACCTAAGTACACTGTTAACAATTTTCTGCAGATTCTATACTAACTTACTGGCATCAGATCGCCAGTCACTGACTATAAATCAGTAACAGCAAAAATACTGTATTTACATTTACAGCACATTGATCTTGCTCTATATGTATTTACAGTATTGCATATTTTTACTGTAAAATATACAGTAATTTTTACAATGCAACTTTAAATTAAAGTATCATACTGCATAACATCATATTACAGTTGAGTTCGCCAGTAACTTACTGTAAAACAATTACAGCTTTTTACATTTATAGCACCATTTATCACGCTGTGTACTACTACTGAAAAAAAAATGTTTCAAAGATTCCTTGAATTTACTGAAATTTTTTAAGTGGTTGTAAACAATTTATTTGGGTTGAATTTAAACAAAATAAGTTGAACATTACAAAATTTATTTATGTGTTTAAATTCAACCCAAATATATTGTTTGCAACAATTATTTACAGCATTGTATATCTTTACTGTAAACATGCAGTATTTTTAAAACTGAAACTTAAATTATATTAATAATTGGTAATAATAATAATTGACCTACAGTAAAATAAGGGCTGGATGATATGGCAAAAATTTATATCACGAAATATTTCTTAATTTCGGTCGATACGATATAATTCTGATATTGATATGGACAATATTAAAAAGCCAAGGAAAAACAGCCAAGACTACACACAATGTCTGTACCCACAAATATCTAACATCTAGGCTTTTATAAATGTTTTTATAACTTTAAATAAAACAGGACAAAAAAATGAATGTTCACTTTTTATTTGTATTTAGCCTTTACAAACAAGAAATATCAAATAAAATAATCAATTTTATATCAAAATATAAAAAAAAATCAAAAAAATAAAAATAAATAAATCAAATAAATAAAAAAATAAAATAAAATAAGACTCAGCTTATATATATATATATATATATATATATATATATATATATATATATGTATAATATATATAAAGCTATAATTCCTAAATGAATGTCTAATAATTATAGAATATTAATGATGAGGAAAATGACAATAATAGTTACAAGGTGCTGCTTTGAATGTGCTTGAATCCAAGTTATGTGCTATAAAAGGTCTGTTACTTTATGAAAAATAAATGTATGGTTTGCATCAAACAAAAATGAAGCATTTCAGTAAGAAAAGTTTATTTTTGCACTATTGTTTTTAATGCATGTCAGTTTAATAAATAGTATTTCTGCTACAAAACAAACGAAAGATTTGAATAAATCATTCAATTCAACACTGAAAGCTGCAAAACAGCCATCAGTAACTAAATAGAAAAATAATATACATCTCAAGAAGGAACGGATAAAAGAAAGTAGTCTCACTTCTATCACTCTTTAAAAGTATGCTGGGATTGTGTCATTTTAAATGCTCAGTCTCATTATGAGCTGATTTTCATTTTTCTGTGTTTGTGGAATAAAGCAGGCGAGTCAGCCGGCCCAATATACAAGCATGTAGAGCTGGATTTTCACGACCACCACCGGCGCAACACTGCTCTTTGCCATGAGCCGCAGTTTCATATTAAACTTAGTAAAGGCGAGCTTCATTGGCGATGATGTGTACAGTGTTAGATTTTACATTTAGTGGACATTTGGCCGTACACGCAGTGAATGCAACGCATGGAGATTCGGGCACCTTCTCTGAAAACACTCGATTGATCTCAGCTGGCGGATCTACATCCACCATGTCATGATCGCTGTCATCTGCACCTTTTTTGTAAGTTTAAGTGGGGTTTCCAGACCTGTGCGCTTTACACTCTTCAGCCGTTTGCATTTCCCGCGGTCACAAAAGCTCCGTCATCTGATAGTGGAAAGCCTTGAGTGATTGACAGCTAATATGAATCAATATAGCGGCAGGGAAGAGCGATTCAGCACGTTTTAAGGCAAAATCAAAACAGGTCACGCTACAACCATTAATGCAGTCCAACACAATCTCACGACAATTCGTAAGTTTTTCATTAAGTAGCTAATTCGTATGATCTAATTCGTACTATTTAGTACGATTTGCTCATCCCCCAATGACAGTTTGGGGTTTAGGGGTGGAGTTAGGTGCCACGCCTCATTTTTAAAATCGTACGATTTTGTACGACTGAACTCGTACGAATTAGCCACTAAACTGGCAAAACGTAAAATACCCTGCTGAAAAATCCAGCTTAAACCAGCCTAGGCTGGTTGGCTGGTTTTAGCTGGTTGACAAGGCTGGTTTTAGAAGGTTTTGG